CTTTGGGGCTCACTTGTCACCTTGCCGGGTTACAACAGCATCCTGACTGCACCTCACAAGGTCCTATCGACCCCTTATCATACCAGTGGCTGCTGAGCCAGTCCCCAAATAGCAAACAGCATTCCAGGGAGGGGCCCCCAGATTTCAGGAGATGGACCTGGTCTATTGCTCTGACCTAGGGGATTGGAACCCTGGGATAGGATCTGGACCTTGCCCCAAGGTTTGTTTCTGGGTTTTCTATTTTGTTTTGTTTCCTTTATTCCATCCTTCTGTGTTTTGTTTGTTTGTTTTTAATTATTTATTTTAAGCTGGGTGGTGGTGGCACACGCCTTTTGTCCCATCACTGGAAAGTGAGAGCCAGGCAGATCTCTGTGAGTTCAAGGCCAGCCTGGTCTACAGAGAAACCCTGCTTCTAAATAAATAAATAAATAAATAAATAAATAAATAAATAAATAAATAAAAATTGTTATTATTGTGTGTCGTGTGATATTTTGATTGTGTTCTGACAAATAAAGCTTGCTTAAAGTCAGAGGGCAGAAGCAGCCACTAGCTGACCAGAATTAACCATAGAGGTTTGGAGGACTGTAGATAGAGAGGAGGCAGGAAGTAGTAAGGCGCGGCCGAAAGAGGAATGGAAAAGCTAGGAAGCAACTGACAGCTGCTCCTGGTTCTCTGATCTTTCAGATTCTTACCCCAATATTTGACTCCTGACTTTTTATTGATATAGATTAATTAGATTGCCAGTGATGGTGGCGCACACCTTTAATCTACACGGAGAAGCTCCGTCTCGAAAAACCAAAATATAAAAATAAATAAATAAAAAATAAAAGATTAATTAGATTAATGCTTCATCTGGTGCCCACCTTCTGGGGCATGAATTCACAGGACAGGTACTTGCTGGTGACTTTGCAGCCACGGCCCCCGCCATTGCGGCACTTGGGAGCTGCACGCACTGGAGTCATCGCACAACTGGCTTTTCCTTTTCTTCCCCAAGCCCTCTGAGTGAGTCTGGGATTTTCCTGTTGCAGCCCAGCGACAGCAATCTCCACAGGCGCCTGTGCTCCAAACATGCCAGAGTCGGCCCCTCACCGCCACCCAGCTCGCCTTCCGGCAGCTCGGTGCTCCCACTTCCTGCCTGTCACACATTGGCTTTCTCGTGTTTTCCTGTGTCCGCTTTGCAGATGATATCTCTTTGGCTCCTTTTTCCCGTGGGTTGTGGACTTTCCCTGGACCTC